ATTAATTGCAGTAGAGTTCTTGCAGATGGGTGAAAAACTGCATGAAATTATGCTTGCTCCAACATAGTCTACAAATATTTTGAGGCTACTCTCACTTTCCCTCCATCAGCTGCATCATAAGTAAAGCCTCAATTGTCCAGTCACTTTCTACATGGAAACTTCATTTTTTTCAAAATTTCAGTCCATACCCGAGTATCCTTTCCTTCTTTCTTTCTGTTGTGCCTATGTGTACACTTACACATCTTATTTTGGGAAAAGAAGTTTCTTCCTTTTTATTCCATACATCTTATTATTTTTCTGCTTCTAGTCTATATAGAATGGAGAAGTGTAGATGAAAGTGAATGAAACAATTTTATACCCAGTGTCTTCTGCCTGTAGGCCTCTCTTGATGGAGTTTATCTCTGTGTATTGAGCTCTAATCATGTTGGTCTCATGAAGTTCAAGTCTTTAGCAATCTATTGAAGCATTCCCACTCCTCAGATACAAGAGGCTTGTGATCACAACTGGATTGGTCTGTTTCTACATCCTCCCTGATTTGAGATCACTGCAAGAGCTGTGAAGTTTTAATGCTCTCCATATATTTTGGGTCACATGGAGCTCATATGTCTTTGGTATTTGGATCAGGAAGACTATAGGATTCTCCCTCTCACCTGAAATTTTATCCCATTAATCTCCCCAAGTTTACCTTCACTTGCTCCAAATGAATGCAGGGCAAGTAAAGTAATATTATTACACAGAGAAATATAAATAAGGACTAAAGCTTGAACCACCCTATCAGTACCTTCTTCAAATGAATAGTCCTCTGGACAACGTGACTCTAGAAGAAAATCCCAAAAGGTTCAAGTCACAGACAGATTCTTGACAAGAATTGGAAGAAATAGATGGGGGAGACTCACCCACAATGGTTGGCAGGTATTCCCCCAAAGTTCCATATATACCTTATCACAGAGTCTACATCTTTAGGTTACTACCTTGAGGGTATTTCCCATTATATTTACAACATTACTGGTCATGACAAATGTTATTTTACTAGTGTCAATATTCTCCTTCCTTCATCCTTCCCTATTCTAGACAGTGTGGGGGCTATAAAGGAAAGGGAGAGTAAAGAGAAGACCGAAAAAGAAGAGAAATCACACATTGATCTAGATCACATACCCTGGACCTGAACAGAATGGGCAGGAAAGACCATGTGTTAAACTGTACATGATTGGAGTTTTAATTTAGTTTAGAACGTGTTTTGAGTAGACTTTTAAATCAGAACTTAAGTGGTAGGCTATGAAATCTATCCAGAGGATTGTTCAAAAATGGGATACAATCAGCAGTGTGGCTCCCAAAAGAGGGAGACTACATATAAATGCACCTATCATATTTTAATGAAAAAACAAAGGGAAATTACTAAGGTGCCATTAAATACATGAGCTACCAAGGGTACACACAGTGTATGAACATGATTGTATATTATCCATCATAAGAACCAAGTATCCATGGAGAAAAATTAAGTTCAATTTCTAACCTCAATGATGTCTAGGTGAATGCAGGTATTTAAATACACAAATCTTGTTGGAAAAATGAAGTGAATGGACCAAATGAACAATATCAGAAAATAACCAGGTTATTGGTTTGCTTGATGTAGGGACCATTCTTATCATAATAGTTAAAACATAATTTATTTGAATTGCACCTTCTAGTCTCAGGGGGGAAATGTCTTGTTCAATAAAAACACAATTTTTATAATGAAGAAGGATGGTGAGTGGAAAGTCTAGATTAAATTACTGCAGCTAATCATTTCCTCCCTCCTATACCTACACTCCACTGTAGACCTTTGTTCATATGCTTCTTTATGAAAAGCATTTTTCTTTGAAATAATTACATGAAATGGTTCCAAATGGTTCTAAGGAACTTAGCTGTAGCAGCTGTGCCTCATTTGCCTCTGTGAAGGGAGGAACATTTACGGGTTATTCTCTGAATCCTGGATGGTGGACATTCACCTCTGATTACTATGAGTTTAGGCTTTGGATTTTGCCTCTTTCAGTGCCCTCACTAACAGAGGTGCCATTTTTCTCAATTCACAGAGTTGTGGTGAATAAATGAGTTACTGTAGTTCATAGCTAAAGCAGTCTAAAGCACAGAATGAGTATCCCACAAATTTACGTATAATCTTTAGAAAATGTACAGCCCCTTCGTATAGTCTACCAGTTACAGAATCTGTGTATTTGCTACTGTGACAACTCAATCAATGTTCACTGAAGTAGAGGCTTCTGCAGTAAACCTAGCATTAACAGAGAGCTTCTTAGAGATTAGGGAGGGCATTAACAGGTACAGGCTAATAGACCGTATTCCAATACTTTTAAAAACAAAAAGGACTGGAGAGTTCGCTCAGCAGTTAAAATCCCTGGCTGCTCTTACAGAGGACCCGAGTTCGAGTCCCAGCATCCACATCGTGGCTAACAACCAAGTGTAACTCCAGTTCCAGGGGAATCCAACACCCTTTTCTGACTTCATGGGCATCTCATGACACAGGTGCACTTATATACATGCAGGCAATAGACTCATAAAATAACAAACTATTTTAAAAGTAAATAAATAGAAATAAAATAATATATTGATCATAGAGATTGTGGTAAAATTAAATCATTTGTCTAATACATTTGAAAGGCTACTAAAACAAGAATCAATGCTTCAAATATATTGAACTAGATGTCCAGTACTATTTAAGTGCAGCTATTTTACAATATATTGAACTAGGTATCTAGTACTATTTAAATGCAGATACTTTACAATATACTTCAACCCTATCAAAAGTTTTTGTTTACGTTCACTATCACTAAAGTGAAGAAATGATACTTCTCTATAGCTGGTAGATAAGTCACTTGTTGAAACCTCTAGAATCAAAACAAGTTGACAGTGTTTAATATGTGAACTGAAGAACTATCAGGAAAGTATTTTAAGGAGCATAGGGAGGCTTTAGTCATCTATGAATTATATGAAGACTGAATCCCCGGCAAGCACATTAAAATCTCAAATAAGCCAAGCACGGTTGTTCACACATATACTTAAAACATCCAGAAGCCTGAGTCAGGATTTCCATGTGTTTAAAGCCAATATAGAATATAAACTGAAATACAGGCTAGTTTGGGCTACAGAGTGAGACTATGTTTCAAATAAAATCAGAAGTAATATAATATCTAAGGAAAGCTTTACCAATGTAAAACATCTCACAATAGAAGATACCATACATTAATAACATCTTGGCCTATGTCATCATAGGAATGAAAGAAAGCAGTAAGAACATATAGATATGTATATATATATATATCATAAGTTGCTTTATGAATTATATGAGGATCTGTTTTTCTGTAATTTGTTCTCACATTGAGACAAACTAGAATAGAATCTAGCAGAATCTTGTTCACATTGTTCTCAGGAACCATTCTCCTGTTCATACAAAAATTCATCTAAAAAATTCCTGGCTGACATATCCAGTGTGAACTGTACAGCTAATTTAGAACTTCATTTTTGCGTTAGAAACAAGTTGGTGGATCCTAGTAAAAACATGTTTTGCAGTCTTGGGGTGACTTTATATTTTGCCTTCCCCTCAGGGTTCTTTATTCTTTTGAACACATTAGTAATTCATTTATTATGAATTTGAAACTTCTGTAAGTCATTACAACAATTTAAAAATAAGAAAACAATAATCTAGCCTAGAAATTGCACTAAATAAAATATAGCAATCTTAAAATGTCATTTTAAATATACGATAACTTGTAAAGCTTTGGAACTTTAGTGGTTTTCTTGACTGTGCTCACTCACCAGGAAACATGGTCACTGAATGAATGATATTATTTATGACATGTTTTTTCCTTTGTAAAAAATTGAATGGAGGTTAGTTAATGTGTATATATGTGAATATATATGTACAATTTCTTGATTTATTTTTCCAGGATATTAAATCACATAAATAGTGCACAAATCTGGGCACCAGACAGTACTGACTCATACTTTTACCTTCTCTGATCAGAAAAACAGCATGGAAATTTCTTTTATATTTTAGTAGGAAAAAATATTAGAAAAGAATTGACAAGGTGTATAGGTAGCAATGGGATGCCAAAATGTAATCAAATCCAAGAATTGGAATCTGAAATTATTCTACATTAGGACTTTTACACACAGTCTCCTAAATTTTCTCAGGGATAGGTCACAGAAAGGACTATTAAATAGGGTTACAGAGAAAAGCAAGGGACACTAAACAGCCAAAGAGCACAGAACTGATGCTTAAACCCAGTGTCATGCTGATTACACTACCATCAGAAATTAAATTTTTATCCCTTATTAAAGAACAATGAGGTTGAATCTAAGTGTTTGAGCTAAATTTGAAGCATAATTCATCATTTTATATTACCAAGTTTGTCACATTATTTCCCCAATGCCCATGATGTTCTGTTATGAATCTCTTTTCAATCCCCTTACCTAAACCAAGAATCTACTCAGGAAACGAGTTGGTGGCGGAGGAATTCTCTCTCAAGACCTTGCCAGTGACAATCAGTTTGATGGCTTTTCAAAACCAAGGATAAAAGAAAGCATAAATCAAGGGGTTCATGGCTGAGTTGTAGTAAGTGATCCAAACCAGTATTTCGTACACATAGGTGGGTGTGATGAAGCCTAGGAGGGCGTCAATGATGGAAATCAATGAAGTATGGCACCCAGGAAAGGAGAAAGGCGGCCACTACAAATTTTCTCAGGGATAGGTCACAGACAGGACTATTAAATAGGGCTACAGAGAAAAGCAAGGGACACTAAACAGCCAAAGAACACAGAACTGATGCTTAAACCCAGGGTCATGCTGATTTCACTACAATCAGAAATTAAATTTTTATCCCTTATTAAAGAACAATGAGGTTGAGTCTAAGTGTTTGAGCAAAATTTGAAGCATAATTCATCATTTTATATTACCAAATTTGTCACATTATTTCCCCAACGCCCATGATGTTCTGTTATGAATCTCTTTTCAGTCCCCTTACCTAAACCAAGAATCTACTCAGGAAACAAGTTGGTGGTGAAGGAATTCTCTCTCAAGACCTTGCCAGTGACAATCAGTTTGATGGCTTTTTGAAACCAAGGATAAAAGAAAGCATAAATCAAGGGGTTCATGGCCGAGTTATAGTAAGCGATCCAAACCAGTATTTCGTACACATAGGTGGGTGTGATGAAGCCTAGGAATGCGTCAATGATGGAATCAATGAAGTATGGCAGCCAGGAAAGGAGAAAGGCGGCCACTGCGATGCCCAGGGTCTTTGCTGCTTTCCTCTCCCTCTTGGCCACTCTGTCCTTGTAGCTGTCTGCTGACTTGGCAGTCTGATTGCTCATCCTCTCAATCCTCAGAGCCTGCTGCTTAGCGATGAGGAAAATCCTAGAATAAACAGTTATCATCACAAGTGTGGGCATGAAAAACAGTAGAAAATTGATGAAGACCCAGCTTTGATTCACTGCCAGTTGACAGCGCCTCACACAGGTGAGGACACTCACGAGATCCTCCAGCCCAGCTGCATTTGCTCCCGTGTAAAGAAGGGAAGAGCTATAGATGATGGGCAGGACCTGGGACAAGGCAATGCACCCGCCAGAAACAGACACAGTGAACCTGGTGGGATACATCCAGGGGTCACTGACAACGACGTATCTGTCCACAGAGATAAAGCACAAGTGGAAGATAGAAGCACAACAGAATGATACGTCAAAACAAGAGTGCAATTTACAGAAACTCTCCCCAAAGTACCAGCAGCTCTCCACAGACCTCACTGCGCTGAAGGGCATCACGGTCAGTCCCACCAAGAAGTCAGCACAGGCCAGGGACGCCACCAGAAAGTTGGCAGGAGAGTGCAGCTGCTTGAAATGAAGAATTGAAATCATCACCAGGAGGTTTCCACACACAGCCATCACAGCCCCAAAGCTAAAGACTGCATAGAGGGTGAGGCAGGGGCCTGGGGAGTAGGGTGTTCTGACACAGGATCCATTCAGGTTCTCGTAGCACAGCTGGACAGCTGTGGGAGGGGTCAAACCTCTACTTATGATTTTGTTTTGCTCCCAGATTGAACTGTCATCCTTTGTGGCCATGGATGCCATTCCACTTTTCAATAATATAAAGAATGTATTGCTGGATGTGGTGGCACAGGCCTTTAGTCCCAGCAATTGGGAGGCAGAGGCAGGTGGATCTCTGTGAGTCTGAGTCCAGCCTGGTATACAAGGAGATCCTGTCTCAAAACGACAAGAAAAAAAATGTATTAGTACCTACTGATACACAGTGTGCATTTATCTTTGCATCTACTCATCTTTGGATTCAGGTTTAAAAATCAGTTCAGGGGGGCTGGAGAGATGGCTCAGTGATTAAGAGCACTGACTGCTTTTGCAGAGGACCCTTTTCTCAGCACCCTTTGAACCATCCTTAACTCCCGTTCCAGGAGAATCTGAAACTCTCTTCTGATCTCCGTGGCATTGCACGACCGGGTGCACTGACATACACGCAGTCAATACATTCATACACATAAAATAAAATTTTTTTAATTAAAAAAAAGTTCAGATCTTCATTTCTTCCCAATTTCTTGAGCAATCAATCATGAATGTTATATAAATGCCTTTTTTAAAAAAACACTTCTCTGCACAATTTTTGCCTATCTCGGAAGCACTGGCCTAGTCTCTGATGCTCATTTGAATTCCACATTTTATTAGCATTCTTAGCCTTATTTATCAAGCCCAAGATAACGCCCTAAGCACTCTTTCCTCTCAAGAAAGTAGCTTAATGATCCCAAGGAGAGTCAGCCCCTAGGATAAAATTCCCATGATGAAAGGAGAAGTGAGAGCTTTTCAGCAACTTTTATATTTATGCTACAACTAAATTTGCATATGCCCTGATAATTTGTTGATGACAGCTGGCCTTTATGTGAAATTGATATGGAAATTATACTTGTCCTGACAGACCTTTGTGCAGAATGTGAAGAATTATTAGTTATTGGAGATTGCCTTTCCTTTTGTGGATAATATTTATTAATGCCTCTCATACTCCATCTCTCAAATGCCTGTGACCAGGTCGTCATCCCTTCTGACATGATCTATGAGAGATAAGATGCAGAGTCCTGTGAGAATTCTTGCTTCATTCCAGGTTCAGGTTTAATAATTCAAATCTGGAAAAGTGAGGGTGCAGACTACATGGATTCCCTCACAGAATTAAGCATGTTTGTAAGAACAGAGAGAAATTCCTTCTCTGTGTGCTTTGTTTAAATTGAAACATTGGAAAGATGCTAAAAAAAATTGTAGAAAGATCTTCAGATTGTGGAGGTTCTAATATATGATTCTATTTTCCATTTTAAATGTCCCTTTTTCCAAAGAATCCTGCAACACAATCAGTTTAAGGTCTGAAAAGATTGTTTTTTGTTGAATACTTCTGGACATTTAAATATGACTTTTGGGCTTTGAGATGGAGGTATGAATCCTGTGAACTATAATAACTACTTGCCTGGTAAGGTGTGCTCATTGGTGACATAATGGAAGAATTATTCTTGGAGTAACCAACCACTTTTAATTGGACTTAAGTTCCACATAAAAAATCCCCTATATGGAGGGGGGGGAAGAACATTAAATTGGGCAAGGGGCAATAAGGTAAGATGTGGAAAGGGGAGGGGATCTAAATACCATCAAATTATACTGTATGAAAATTGTAAAAAAATAATCTATTTTAAAAAGCCTTTAAAAATCTACCTAAGCTTGGCCTGGTGGCACATGTCTTTAATCCCAGCCACTCAGGAGGCAGAGGCAGGCAGATCTCTGCGAGTTCAAGGCCAGCCTGGTCTACACAGTGAGTTCCAAGAGAGCTAGGGCTACCCCTGTCTCAAAAATAAAAAAATAAAAAAATAAACTTACCTAAAGAATTTCAAATAATTTTACTTTTCTCAGCACTTATTAACATGCACATTCCCATTAACTTAAAAGTAGTCAACATAGCATATTATTTTTCACAATGATAATATATAAAGCAATGTTATTATTTGTAATATTTGTCTACCTTCTGCAACAAAAAGGTAATATGACTTGAATTGCTTTTATGGATCTGTAGACAATAAAACCTGGCTGTCATGAGGAACTGCCTGTAATTCCAGTGCTCAGAAGGTAGAGGCAGTGGATTCTCAGAGCAAGTTTGATACGTAAACTAGCAGTGTTGGTGAGTTCTGGGTTTGAGAGACCCTGCTCCAAAGAATAAGGTGGAGATCAATTAAGGAAGACTCCCAAGGTCAAACTCAGGCTTCCAAGGCACAACCACCTATGTGAATATACACACACATAGATATACATACTGCACACATACACATACTGATAATGATGATAATAATGTTTCATTTACACATACTATTAAGATGATAATTATTAGTGTTTCATTTTTCTATTTAATGAAAATTCTGTACTTTAATATTAGAGATATTTTCTCTATATTTTGATAATTCAAGAGCATTTATAGTTTTTATGGAATGAATTTAAGAGCAGCAGCAATATCTTTTAATTTACATCTCAAGGGTGATACAATCTTTCTATTGGTAACTGTTTCTGTCATTAATCTCCCTGCTTATCATTTTGTGACAAGTAGAGCAAAACCTGCTTTTATATTTATGGTATTAATATTTTGTTCAATGCAGCAAAATAAATTCTGTTTTAATTCTGCAAGTGATATTTTAGATCTTCATACATTTAAAGGAGTTTTAATAAAAAATATTTCTTTTGAGACATGGTTTCATGTAGAACATTCTGTTCATAAACTTTCTAACTCTTCAAGGATGGTCTTGGCTTTTCCTCTTTCTGCCTCTACCTTCCAGGTGCATAATAGGCACATGATACCATGCTCAGTTTTATGTGACTCTTGGGAACATACCCAGGGCTTCATGCAGAGTAGGTAAGCTCATTGAATTCTTCAGCCTTGTTCTTGATTGTTCTTTTTAAATTCTGCATCCTGAGGTTCCCCTGGATAGTTCTCATTGTAGAACACTTCTGTTGGACTGGTAGGTTTTTGTGGGGACATATTATCTTTTTTCCATATTATTTGTGTTTTTTGCTTTGTGGCCTAGGCATACAGATTTCTTTTGTCAGTTGTGTGTCTGCTATGAAATTCTAGCCCACCTTTGTTTAGCTAAAGTTTGATTCTGTTTATATTGTTCTGTTCTTATTTTTAAAATGATAGAGCTTTTGCATTCAGTTTGTATAGAAAATCTAAGCTCTTTTTGATGACTTAATAGCGTTTTATTATGCAAACATGGTTACATTTAGTATAATCATATATTGAACTAATTTTTTCCAATCAATAGCTCAAACCCATACAAAGAATATTACTGCTATGGTGTTTATCTACCTGGCTGTTTTTGTCTTGGAAGGCAAGAACTGGAAATTTAAGTAACATGTATTTTAAATTTTGTACATATGCTTTTTATTCCTCTTAGAAAGATGATACTGAATCTTACTCTTCTGCGATGACTCTAAGCATCCTGGCTCCTATTAGTTGCTCCATTCTCCAAAGTCTAATTGTCATAGTGAATTATTAATTCTTATAAAATTGTTAACTTGATACAT